ATATATCTAAACGGTGAAAAATACCGTCCCCAAGATATATCACCAATTAACATTTTTAGCTTTGTTACACTCAAAAATGAGATCCTCGATTTTCTAGGATGGCCCTACTACATCTTAGAAAAATTGACTATTTTATACGCAATGTTTAACTTTATTGGATTTCTTTTCTCACTTTTAAAAGGAATCTACAACACATGTGCTATACACACACAAGTAAACAGACAAGCAAGCGTAGCACGCATACTCTTTGCAGGATTTTTTGGAATCTTTTCTACATCTATAAACAAAATTCTTTTAGACGCACAAATAAAAGAATATAACACAAAAATAGCAACACGACAAAATACATACGACGAAGAACATAACAATGTAGACATAACGCCAACGGCACCACAATTACCACCCCTACCAAATAACCATCCACTATCCCTAGTCCCACGAAATTTTCGAAATTTAGCCATCACACATAATCCAAATTTTCGACTCAATACATCACAAAGTCCCATCCAACATATAATGACACACCAGTCACAAGATGATAATACTTATGAACAAATTATTGAACAACCCCATACCACCGCTTTTCAGTCTCAAAATAATCATTTTTTTAGCCCACGATGAGCCGCCAACTTGGATCACTACACCGATCAAATTCCCACCCAACCAATCTTACCTCTCCAATCCCAATAATACCACTTTTTGCTTTTCCGCCACCCGATTTTTCACCTAGTAATGTAACATCAGGCATGAATTCCGACACTAATTCACACATCTCAGTTTTATATTCCATCTCACAACTCAATAACCCGAATATTGAAACCCCCGATGAATTTGCCGACTCAGAACCATCCCCATCCAATAATTTTCATAACTCTTCTAATTTTTCTCAACCCCCTTTTCAACCCATATTATCCAATAACCCTGACCCAATCACTCCCACACCCTCTTATGCTTCCCAAGTTACCCCAACCTACTCCTCATACCATTCTGACCAATCATCTCATTCTCCAGACACCCCCCGAATCTCCCCAGAGCTAGATAATTTTATTACCCTTCAACAACAACCCTACCACCTTAATACCCCAACCATAAACCAAATCTCCTCCACAATAAATTCATCCAACCCCCCTACCCCTACACCCTCTTCAAATTATACTGAATCATTAGCACCATCATCCACATCAACTGAATCTTCACTCAACACTAATAGAGCTTACCGCACTTTTAAAAGAAAGTTCCCCAACCATCCTTTCCCAGCAAAACCAGGAACAGCCCGTGAATACATCAACCACCCCAAGCATACTAACACAAAAGAATTTTTAGCCATCACCTTACCCTCATTCCCACAATACACCTTAAACACCCCCCACGACACTAACGAAACACGCAACTTTGTAGATGAATACGTTTTAATGCCCACTCTCTCTTGGACCTCATATTATCATTTTACTAACCCTCTTTGCTTACCTTTATCTAACACTCACATCGATATAGAGCGAAATACGGACATGCTATATCGACTCACTACACCACTAACCGCTAGACAATTTACTTACGTTGGATATAAAAAATCACTAAAAACACACACTGCACCTAGAGCTAACGAATATACACTCGAATACTATGATCACAACATCATCAGAGCTAACCAAGATCAATTCTTAGACGACGATCGCTTCGCTAATCCACAAATTACCGAGAAATTTTTCATCAAGACACCATATACATTCACACTAAACATCTTCGACCGAAAGTTTGATCACATTATTTCAGAAGCACTAACAGACACACAAGCATACGAAAGTTTTAAAGAACGCTTCCAAATATTTTCACTAACTTTTCATTTCCTTGCACCACACGAAAGAGATTTACACTGCTCACACGATATTATGTTGCGCACTAAACAAACCCACACATATAGTTATTATCGCTTCATCCAAAATCACTTTGACCTACACACACCCTCTAGACAACCACACCATCGTTTTCAATTCATTAATTCCAAATTCACCATTTTTCCTAAATTTCACATATTGTATTAAAGACACTAACCTCCATGGTATTCTTCGTAATTATGACCCCATAACCCAAATGTACATCTTCTGTCCCATCACCAAGACCTTCAACGCCGAAGAATCCCGACCCTTCCTTATCCCGCACGAGTTTGTACAACCTATAGAAATCCCAATTTTAGAATTCATCCACAACACTAAATTTAATCACAAATTATATAACTTAATCCAAAACACACCTTATGAGTTTGCAGTAGGCACTGAAGAACTAACCACTATTAAGGCACTTCAATTGCTTTGGCCACTGCTTCAGACTAAAAATATCATCCGCATCTTAGCTAAACTACTAACAACTTCAGAACTAATTCACGACATCTTCCCCCACGGTTTTTTCCCCGACGACTAACAGGTAAGTATGAATTAAATGAATATTACTAACTAATTAAAATATTAAAAAACTCACCATACTTTATCCATGTTTTCCTTAGATTTTTAGCCTTCATCCGACGATCACCTACAAAAACCACAAAAAACAAATAAAGATCGCAAATTTCATCAAACAGATTTCAACAAATTCTATTAATCTCTTACACTTATAAATTTATAAATTTAATACCAATGCAATAAATTCATTTCTAAAATTTTCCCCACAAGCAGTAAATCTAATTATGATGAAAATTTGTAACTTAAAATTCCCCCATAACTAGCAGTAAATTTCCAAATTCTATGCAGTAAATTAATAAAATGCAAATGCAGTACTAACCTTTTGATATTTTCATTTATTCGCACAGAAATTCTATCCACACTCGCACAGCTCGCCCACGAAGAATTGTTTAAAATAATGAATTTCAGTTTCAAGTTTTCACACTCAACAACTCTAACATAAAATAACATGTTTCAAATTTTCCTTTAACCCGGTTGGAAAGGAATCATATACTAAACAAAACTAACCAACGCAGCTTACTAAATACCACAAATCATAGAATAACAGCATGACTTAGAAAAGGAAACCAACGGTACCCAAACCGGATTAACCCAGTTTAAAACTGGATAATTTATTCTTTTGAAGACTATTACAAAGTCTTAGAAAGAAATAATAAAACACAAAAAAGTCGAAAGACAAACCCATACCACAAACAATTTGCTTTTTGGAAAAAGTACATAACCAACAAGACATAAGTAAGACCACAACAAACCCAACATAAAACGTTGTCACATAACAGGACCCCTCACAAAAACCGCATGAAATCATACTCCCACTCCTGGCCTAACCCACCAGGAAGGACGTCCTGAGCATGCTCTATAGCCGGCCTAACCCACCGCGCTACATCCACGCTTTGTGACCACACCTCTATTTTTAATAAGAGCTACTCAAGGGTGAGTAACTCTTCAAAATAACCGAACTAAAACAAAAAGCTTTTGTGAAAACAACTAACTAAAATCATTATTAAAAAATATTAAACTAATAAAAGTTTTATAAAATGTAAAATCACATGATGCAATATATAGATCAGAATACAACACCAAGGACGAACATCAAAAGACAAGACGACCCCACTACACTCGAGAGAGAATGACCAACTACAATCGATATGCCGCTCACAATCACAACTCAAAGGATTTAGAGTACGACTTGACCTCGCAGAAAAGGACTTCATTGAACTAGACCAATGACCACCTCGATGTTCAAGTATACGTACAGATCCGAGTAACCAGGCATCCCCTCCACGCACAATCTCCACGCCATTCCCAAGCTAGATCAGACACAAAAGAAGTTCTCCACGAAGAACAGAAAAACCTGACATAGCCAACCATTCTGAAATCAGATTTGAGTTTGTTGCGAAGACTTAGTCGTTGTCACAAGAAGAACACAACGTCTTATGTCTCTAACTCCAGCTTCCTGGAACTTCCCTAACAAAAGAGGAAACGGAAGAAAATTATGATGTTCGCCAAAAACAAACGTCCATCATCCATCCTTCGAATTGCAGAAGAACTATTCTAAAAAACTCTGTAAAACCCGGATGGGTGGAACCTGATCTAAACTACATTTTATGATTGGATAAATTAAATGTTTTACCAATGTAAAGTATTTAATATTAACCAATCATGATCCATCTAACTAACAATCCACTTATTTGTAAGTGCTGAAGTTACTTGTAATTTCAGCACCAGAGAGATTTGAATTTAACTTAGAAATTAGTTGGACTCTCCCGAGCACTTCAGCAGCCGCAATAAACCAGTATACCCTAGATCTATTGAGCCTAGCAGAGACTAGTTAAACAACCTGAGACTAGATAGTATAAGAGTAAGATTAGGATCGGTATTAGACTAAGAAGTTGCACGAATCTATCCGGCCGAAAATAAGATAGCGTGACGAGCAGACGGTGTACCCTATCCGAAATTACTCTATGAGTTAACCACATCGGTCCTAACTCATTCGCTTCATTGAATTTTTGATTGTACATTTGTGAAGTCTAGTTTATTTCAGTTTTTTTCCGTATTTAATTCAACTTTCAATCAAAGTTCCGAGCGTTATAAACGTTTTACATCATCCGTGATTTATTGCTGTTTCATCGCAAAAAAATTGATAATTTTTCCAGCGCTAAATAAGCGATAATTCAACGATAAAAAATTGATAATTTTTCCAGCGCTAAATTAGCGATAATCCATCGATAAAACTTGCTATTGTGGCAATGAACATTGATAATTCATCGATAAGGCAATCGCTTTTTTTTCTGTTTTTATTGCTAATTTTCAATGTGAGCTCAACCCGGGTCTAGCGGCAAAATAATACACTACAATTACAATTATTCAATTGTGCGTTTTTTCATAATCTGATTTTTGTCCTCCGATTTTTTCTGTGTATCTTTTCCACAAATAGATCGTCCGTGCGTATAACAAATATATTCCCCCTATAAATGCTATTCCCTTTCCTGAGCCACGCACGTGTGTTCGTGCAATGGCTATGCGTACACCACTCTTAACCGTGCGGTTATTCTTACTTCAGTTTCTACTCTTATGTGAACTAAAATAGTCAAATGTGTTCACGTGTCTATTTTTACTCATTCATTCAGTCGCATTTGTATATGTATGGTGTGTTTATATGAATGCGTTTCTGTTCAAAGTGTACTTGTTACACTTTTCACTTGTATCCGAGTTTAACTACCATGCCAATCTAAGCGAACTTATTTACGCGTAACATGTTACCCTAACGAAGCTTTCCTAACACAATTATGGTAAGTCGTTGCCCTGTTTCATTAAAATTATAACAATTCATGAGATTTTAGGCGCCCAAGACCGCCGGTGGCTTCTTTTTAAACTTAAAATGAAGCGCACACTTAAGTTTTTAGTTTAAAAGTTCCTATCTGCTTTAAGGGCAGCCTTTTTAGACATTTTTCACTTCGAATTTCAACGAAATTTTTAAATTGACCGACAGCAAACGATCAGACTATGGCCGATCGTATTCTCGATTTTTTTTTGTGTCTCAACTTATTCAGACCCGGGAAAAATGATAAGTGCTTCAAATTAAAAATTGAGGAAAATTTGCAGGCAAAAGCAAGTTTTCATCATCTGTTTTTTCAAGTTTTCGAAAAGCTTTCTAGCTGAGTTCCCGCACTGAAGTTTCTCGGATAAAAATAGATTATATTGAGAAAATATTGCGGAAAATGTTGCCATTATAAGCGATTATGTGTAACAATTTAAGCAACATTTTCTGTTATAATAGAAAGAAAATAGATCATTTTCATGAAGATTATATTGCCTTATAACTCCACTAAATACTTTTTTATCTCCACATAATCTCAACGAAATCTATTTTTTTCGCCCTGAAATCGCCATAAAATTGCAATAAAATCTATTGTAATTTACTAAGCGCTCATTGCTGGTTGAATGCTTAGTAATTTTATCCTAAGTTATAAGTCTCACCTTAGATCGTCAAGTTGTCTTGACAAATATTAGAGTAGAAACAGTAGTTAGAAAGGGTACGAATTAATTAGCTGGTTAAATACAAAGCACAGGGTTATTAGATTATATAAACGAATCGAACAGCTTAAAGAAATATACCTATCAGGGGAGGTTGAGTTAATCTTATTTTGTTCATCAATATTTTATCTTCTTACTAAGGTCGATGACTGATTAGTATTTCTTGGGTCGCCCTTGATTGTGTCCACTTCGGCACTTCTAGTTTGGTCGTCAGTATCGTCTTTAGTCCTTTGGGTAATTGTAGTCCAGACTTCCTTAGGTGTGGGTATCTCGAGTATCTCGATTTATAATTTTATCGAACTTTAAATGAGAGTTTATTCTCTATTTTATTTGTGAAAAAGGGCTAATTTAATTTTATTGTAAAGGCAGAAAAGAAAAATTTTTTATTTTGAAAAGGTCTGACTGAAAAGATCTAACTTGCTGCTTACTGAGCAAAATGAAACACTGAAGATTTCAGGCCAGTCTTTTTGCTCGTAAGCATAAACCGGCGGCAGATTCAGTGTTTAATTATTCAGGTTTCACCTGCTCCTTTGTTCTCCCTTTCCTATAAGGGATTTTTCAACTAGTTTTTATTTGATTTTTTCAAATCAAATATTTTTAACTTAATTGTTCCTCTTTGATGAAAACCGCAGCTTTCAGTTTTTCTGATTAAAAATTCATATTACTCTCTCTGATGCATCATTATGCAGGTGCATTTCTGCTTAATCAAAGCAAGGAGAATTTCAGTGCAGCCGGCAAGACTGCTAAATATTTATCCATTTTGTTTCAAGTTAAATTTAAAAGAGACGTTATTAATCGCCGCCCTTTTAAAATAGTGAGCATGAAAAATCGAGAAAAATTGGACAAGTCTTTAAAAAGGAGTGGATTTTCAAAACAAGATTTTATAGTCCTTTTAAGAGTAAATCAGTAAATATCTGAATTAGTGAAATAAGGCTTTAATTTAAATGGCACGCTCCAATTTAGAATTGGGTCGTTAAATAAACAATTAAGACAATGGTCTTTTGTCTGTGTAGTATTTTGAATACTACATTTCACCCCTTTTTTTAAGAAAATTAAGCTGTTCGATTCTTACAGTTACCATGGTGAAAATTTAAACACATTAATGATTAAATACTATAGTTATAACATTTAAAAAGAACATCAAATGAAAAAGTTATGTAGATAGGTTAGGTTAATGAACTCAAATTTATATAAGGTTTTTGTTCTCAAGAGCTCTAAATTTCTTCTAGAGCTTCCTTCCGGCTTCTAGCTCCACATTTTACGATCTGAGGATCGCTATCTTCCTCTGTGAAGCCTCGAGTTTTTGTTGCAACTTGACGATTTTCTTTTTTTTATTATTTTGTTCTTGATTCGCAGTCTGCTCATCCCGTCCGTAAGCTCTTGAATATCTTCTTGTTCCTGCTTGGGTTTTACATGATTCGGGAAGGCAGTTATTCCCTCAAACGGTATGGTAACTTGCGTTCCCCCTGCTTTCAGAATGTAGCCTTGCTCTTCTCCCTTCTTCAATTTCCAGAAGTGGGTTTCATCCTTTATCACCACTTCTTGTTGGGTTATGAACTCGACAGGCACCATAGCTTTTTCCATTGTCGTCGAGTTGACGACTTCAATAAACGATGGCAGTTGCCATCTGTTATAGTTTTGCTTTATTGAATACTTCAAACTCGTTATAAATCTGGGGTTTTCAGTATTCAATTTTACTTCTCTGCTCTTCTGCAGTTCCAATCTTTGATTTAGACTGGGGAAATTCCGAGGGCTCTTATTTAACCCGTCGTCCATTGACAAAGATTGTACTGCTACAGGTTTTCGTTGTTTCTTCCTGAGAGGCAGCTTTCTTTTACACTCCTCTGGTGCTGGGTCTGCATTTCTGCAGTTCCAGTTTAGAATTGGGTCATATTCCATTTTGCTAAACATCAATATAAAATGACCAAATATTCATAATCCCGAATTACATTCGGATATTAAGGCTAATTATCAAATGTTTGAACAATAAAGGACAAAGTGTAAAATTGTAAATATATAAAAGGTGGAAAATATAATCTTGTGGTTTCACACAAACCCACCACGGAAAACAAATGAAGAAAAACGATCATGGTGTTTATTAACCACAGGAATAAAGCACTTTACGACACTGAGTTAAGCTCAGATATTAAACTTATGTAGTTAAAGCAAAAATGGAAATTTGGGCATTAATTAACCCCTAATCTTAAATGTATGTCCACCTGGGGTCATCCACAGGCTTACCAAGGGGTCCTTAACAAATTATACAGCTATAAACTTTGGGTTAGGATTTACTAGATGCAAATATTAACGAATAGAAAATTGTAAAAGTTGTAAGGCAGGTGTAAACAAATATAATATTTCATTTGACAGCATTTTTGTCATAACCAGGAATCTTTGTTTCATTTTCTGATAAAATCTGGAAAAGATTTGATTAAGGAATTTAAAAAATGAAATGTCAAAGGTAAGGAAAGTTGAAGACTAATTACAAACAGTATAGTATTCGATAAGATAAGTGTAATAATTCTTCTTCCATTTTAATCCCCTGCACCAATCCATGTTCACATCTTTAGTACAGAAAAGTCGTTCTGCGGCGGGTCGGGTCGAAAAACATTGTTCGCCCATTTTAAGATCATGAATAATTGTAACAACGTACTCAAATTGTTGAAAAATGAGAGATAGTTTTTCCCTTTGCATTTGTAACTTGAAAACTATAAGGCTTAATAATTAATGTCTTCGGTCCCTACTTGGGCCCTAAGAGGATTCCGATGGTGCAAAATAACTTCGCAGAATGAGTTTGTTACAATTTTACATTGGCTAGTTCTTTCATCAAAGGTTTCACTCTATTAATTCTCGTTATTGTACGTAGGGTAATTTGACATTCCCTCAAGTGTAATACTGAATTTTCAGTTAATAAAACCGCCTGAAAATGAAATTATTATAGACTCGTAAAACTGTAATATTTTAAACTCCTGGCCTTTTGCAATTTTTTTTTTGCAAATATGTTGAATTCAAAACTGCCAGAAATTGGCAACAAAAACTATTGCTATCGCCATTAAATTGCAGTAAAATCTAGGACCCATAACAACAATTATGTTGTCAAAAAATGGATTTTATTGTCTGAAAAACTGACTTTTTCTCTTCTTAAAAGCATATGCCCCTTCGGCCCCTCAAGGTTTTACCCCCCCCCCCAACTGAAGGGGTAGGGTAAACTAGGGGGGTGTAAACTGGGGGGGGGCATAACCGGGGGGATGGGTAAATAAACCGGGGGGGGGGGATAAAGTGGTAAACTGGGGGGAGGGTAAATAGTGGGAGGGGCGTAAACTGGGGGATGGGGGTAGTAAACTGGTGGGGGTAGTGAACTGGAGGCTTAACTGAGGGTGGGGGTGTTTAAGCTGGGGGGGGGGGGAGTTTGTGGTAAAAAGACAGTAAAATAAAGTGTTAAACTGCGATGAATTTGAATACAGAAACCAAAAAGTATAGAAATTTTGTTCTGAAATGTAACATTTTATGAAACGTGTTACGTAGCATCTGCACTAAACTGGAAATAAGATAAATTTAAATAAATTATAATTTTCATAAAAAAACCCCTCGAGAAAATCCATTATAATCGATTAAAAGCGATTATAATGGATTATATTAACAAAAATTATAAGGATTATAATCTATTTTTAATGGATTATAATCCATTATTTTGTCATTTTTTTGCGGGCTATATTATGACAATATAATCGATTATGATCCAAGGTCGCTCGGTGAGGGAATCTATTATAATCTATTATAATTCCAATAGAATCGACATAAAATTAATGTTTTTTAATGGATTTTTTCTCCATAAAATCCATTATTCTACTCTGCGACCACAAAATCACCAGATAATTGATTATTAGAAGAACAATTTTTTGTCCGACCACAAAATCGCCAGATAATAGATAATAATCGGAGAAGCTTCGGAGCGCGTTAAGTATAACATTGACGTACTGATTTTTTTAATTTTCTCGCTGAGATTGTTTCACGTCGCACGAAAAATTTTTTAATCCACTTTTCGAGAAAGAGCTCACTACGATTCAAAACCCAAAGCAGACGGTGAAAACTGGCTTTTTCAGACCCGGAAAAAACAGGTAAGTGCTCTAATTTAAAAGAAGATACTTTCAGAGAGGGGAGTTCTCATCATTTTCTGTCGGTCGATGTAACAGTTTTTTTGAAATAGCGAGTAAAAGTTGTCCAAAATGGTTCTAAAAGATAGGCTTTTCGAGCA